ACAGGAGTGGATGGTTTAGAAGTCACCCTACTATCAACAAGATCAGAATCAATGACATTTCGGTCCAGCTTGGAAGCAGCAACACAGCTTAAGAGACAGGATGAATGACAGCCCATTTTACTGATTTAACTAAGGGACAAATGGGCTTTCACACAAATCTAGTTACAGGCAGCGGGAACTGCCCAGTTTGGAAGAAGCCCCAGAGCACATTTTACCCTGACCAGGCAGAACACTTGCTGCTGCTTCAGGCCACCCATTTCTCAAATAATCTTTTTGCTGTGGGGTTCTTCTTCCTATCTAACCTAATTCTGCCCTAAATATTTAAGAAAACGAGTGTCTGAAGTCTAACCCAAAAATTTTGGAGTAATACAGCAAACAAGAACATAAGGATTGCCTGCAATTTGAAGGGCTGGAATTTGACATGAGCCTTTGACAGGAAACTTGTGTCCTCTTGCATACTACATACTCATAAAATAGCCTAAACAAAGTATGACATAACATGTCAATAGCTGGGAAACAAATAAGACTATAACAAGGAAGGGCGGAAAGTGGACTTGACATTTTATATGCCTTGTTATTTCTTTCCCAGAGGAAAAGCAGCAGAAAGCAGGTGTACTAAAATTCTTCAAAGGCACATAGCCTTGTAGATAATCAGATCTGAGGGCACAAGCAAGACATGAGAATGACCAGAACTCCTTATCAGAAGAAGATACAACCTTCTATCTTCAAGGGTACACCTTGGCAACCAGTAGTGTACAATGAAATCCCACAAAAAATACGGTATCTCACAGTAAATGGAAGGTCACTTAACCTTGCTTACACTGAGGAGCAAGCTATTATGTATTTGGTATGGGGTAAAGGCATGACTGCAGTGACCGTGGAATAGTTTTGGTGTTGTACATTCGCAGTCTTACTTTCCTAATGGTGACTTGCTCATATTTCCTTTCACTGAATCATATAACTGTCCCTAGGGTGGACAGAAATAAAAATGAGCAGTAGGACTTTATTTCAGGTAAGAAATAATATTATATCTGTCTGAGAAGACATGAAAGCTCCAGGAGTAGGGTAGTTGTGTTTTTGAAAACTACAGCAAAAAGATATTTTAAAAAAAACAAAACAAACAGACAAACCTCCATGGGTTCTTCTTCAAGCTACGAGTGCATAGATGCATTTACACTCTACACTATCTTCCTCTGTTTGACCACTGGGGAAACGCCAAACAGTAAAACAGCCAAATCCACCTGGACATAAGCAGAAAGTTCTTCCCCACAAGTGGTACAGTACCAGCTCAGAACACACAGAGAGGGCATGGAAATGCCTTTTGGAGACTTCTGAAACTCAGATGGTCAAAGTCCGAAGCAAACGCTATCCCTGCTTTGAAGCAGCATGCTGGACTACAGACCTCCAGAGGTCCCTGTAGTTTCTGTATATTTTACTTTAGCAGTTATATAAGCCATCAAATAAAAGCCTTATCTAATAATTCAGAGATTCTTTAAAAATATGAATATGGGTATTTTATTCCATGGATTGCAGTTTTTTAATGGGAAAACCATAGATTTCAGCTTACAGAGAAAACCAGAAGTTTACATTTTATTTCTTTCCTAGCTTTCTAGGGCTTTTTGTTAAGCAAAAGCAAAGACAAGAGCAAAGGAGTACTCAATATATTTAAGAAGTGACACAGATGCAGACATCTGTCTAGACATGAGCAAAGAAGCAGCTTAAGAAAAACATCAAATAAGAACATTATTGCCAATGCTGATGGATTAGAATGGATACATGAAACTGGTACTATAGCCAGGCATATTAATCCATTTCTAAGCTGTTTCTTCCAGGGGCAGTAACAAAGACCTGAAAGAAAAATAAGATTCAAGCTATTTATAAGATAGCCTTAACCTTCTCGGACCTCATGGAAAAGCTGCTCACAGTTGATGTATTTTCATAAATACATGTGTAAGAAATCTCCATTTTACAGTACAAGTTCGGAATTGAAGCAGCTCATTGGGTTCAGCCAGGAGATGAAGACAGTTTTATCTATCAGCAGAAAAGGAGACTGGCAACAGGACTGTATTTACTTGCACATCACGTGAGTCTGTTCCAGTACCAAAAGGAAACCTTCTTTCCTCTCCCTAGTATCCTCTCTTTTCCTACTCCCACCTCAAAAAAATTCACTGAACTGCAAAAGAGGGAATTGGGGAAGATCTCAAAGGACAAGGGGCAATGGTTCTGAACCGAGAGAGGGGAGATTTAGGTTAGATTTTAGGAAGAAATTCTTCACTATAAGGGTGGTGAGGAGCTGGAATGGGTTGCCCAGGGAAGTTGTTGATGCCTCACCCCTGGAGATTTTTAAGGCCAGGTTGGATGAGGTTTTGTGCAACCTGGTGTAGTGGTAGGGTTCCCTGCTCATGGCAGGGGGGCTGGAACTTGATGAGCTTTAGGATTTCTTCCAACCTTTGTGATTCTATGATTCTGTGGTGACCATTTCTGCAAGGCAGGGACCAATATACTACTCCCAGTAGGTGTTTCTCCAATCTACTTGTAAGGACCTATAATAAGATAACAAAACAATCTCCCAAATACTGTGTATTTTTTTTCTGATGTCTGATATAAACTTCCTTTGATGCATTTTTTGCTCAATACATCTTGTCCCACCTCCAGTGGGCATGGATCGGAACTTATTTTACAAAAGCCACGGGATAAATGAGGTGGGAAGAGACCTCAGGAGAACATCTAGTCCAATCTCCTGCTCAAAGCAGGGTCAATACTGAATTCAGACCAATAATGAATTCTTCTTTGATGCAGCCTTTACAATATTTGAAAGTTGTCACGTATCGCTCCAAATCCCTCTTTCCCAGGGTGAGGAAGGAAACCTTTTATCTTGCATTTTCATCTCCCTAAGGCCAGTGCTCTTAGGTCAGCATGGTGTTAACATGTTAAACATGCACATGTGAGAATGGGAATCAGAGATAGAGGACAATCAATAGGAAGGGAAATGAGGGAAAAAGAGTGACCTCAAGAAAGAGAATGAGCAGAAATTAAATATAAGAAGTTTGGCTTAAAAACAAATGACTACCTGGGAATGAGGAAAGAAAAAAATTAGTAGGAAAGAGAATGAGAAAGTTGCTTAAACAGAAGAGGTGTAAAGAGCTTGACTTGTTCAGCACAGCAAAATGAAGAATAAAAGAGGATATCATTCCCATATACAAGTTCATTGGAATAGAGCTGTTAAAGCTAAAGGGTAAATGGTATAATGGGTAAATGGGTATAAATTGGCTGCATACACCTAGGCTATAAATTCAAAAGTTTCTAGATATTATGAGACTGAGGCCCTTGAAGCAACATATTTTAAAGGCACTTTCATGAACTCAGGGTACTGAACTGGACTCCATGACTCAGACAGATCCTTGCAATTCTAAGTCTTGTCTTTCATAAGTAGCTGAGGGCAAAGAATGCAAACCTCAAACAGCATAAAAAAGATTTGTATATTTCAGAACAATGGGTTTGTTGGACTTGTACAGGTTATGCAGGTAAGTAGAATGCAAATCCTCAGCTTTATATTGTAGACATGCTGCAGAAGACATCATGTCTCTTGGGGGAATTTTGCACCAATCTGCCAGACCCTGGCCATGTTCTCAACCAGCCCACATAATCCAACTTTAACATTCACTATGCAGCTCCCTTAAGGCACCTTCCCCTGAGGGGAAGGGTAAGGCTTATGTATTGATATGGATTTCCTTACCTCATTTATTTGGAAATGAGTATGTTATTAATGAATCTTTGCATATAGCCACCAGGATGATTAGCTATGAGCTTTGAGAGCTGTGTACATTAGAATTCTGGATATTTTTACTAATTGTAAATTTGATTTAGCTTTTTAAAGAGTAGCTACAACTTCTTTCTGGACCCCTTTCCACATGGTAGTGTCTTTGCATAAGATTCTCTCCTAGCTTGAATTTATTTCAAAATGTAAATTATGTGGCTTCCTGAAATAGCTTCAGACACGGAGAAAAACTGTATGTTTATAATTTACTGGCAAGGTTGACCAGCTGCAATGCTTTGTAAGGCAATTACTCTTTAATTCACTACATTAGCCCTCCAGGGAATCTCAGAAATATCTATTGCAACAGAGGCTGCTGCAAAATCCAGAACAAGTTACATCAAATTATACTTTTTATTGGTGCAACTTGGATGTTGAAATTCCTATTGACTCTAACCACCAAGTTGTCCTTCAAGACTCCTATGATAAAATAAGGAAACAATTGCACTCTGTTATTCATGCTAGCAACTTATGCTCTGAGAGCACTGAAGTTAATTCCAAAAACTCAGTAGCATGTAAATCCCTTCTCTCCCAAAATATCCTTTGCAGTAGTTCACATTGGATTTGTGGAGTAACTTAAAAGTGGGCTCACTATGTGATCTGTGTTTCAGAATACTTTGCAAGTTCATTTGAGAGCATATCAGAGTGCTTTCCATTTTGTATTTGCATCCAAACTATGAGCAAAAAAACTGACACAGATATCTCTTGTGATTCATAATACTTCGTAGTCTAAATTTTGTTCTCTTGAGCTACTGTGTGAAGAAGCCATTGTATCATCAAGACAGGACTGCCTTTGGTCTTCAGGAGCTGAGAGTGCAGGCAGAGAGCCAACAGCAGGAAAAACTATGAGTGGCCTAAGGAGCAGGAGGCTTGTGAATGAGGGAAGAAAACATATAGCTCCTCACAGGTAGGAGCTTCACACCTTGCAGTGAGCTCTGGGTCCTATATAGGCTCTGGGTCTGCAGGGAATGATCCATACAGTCTGTTAAGCAGAGTTTCTCTACTCATTTTTCCCTCCATGAGTTTTTTTCTCTTGAAAAGGAATAACCTTTTGTTTCATTGCTTTTCTATCCCCAACAAATGTTTCCTAAGAACTGTTCTTTCAAAACAAACCTTTAATTGTCTTAAGGAGTTTGTTTGTGGTCACTTCCTACTAAAGGAAGTAATTTTCTGTGAAAGAAGACTCTCTAGGTGTATTTAAGTTTCTAAACAGCTTCTTACCCCACAGTACTGCTCCTCATTGAAGATCTGTGGAGGGAGGGGAATTCCATTTTGAGGCTTTTTTTCACCTGGGACATTTTCTCTCATCCATTTCCTGTTGTCTTCATCTCCTGCTATGTCCATTTGCTGAAAGTCAATCTTGTTGGCCTCTAAAAAGCCCACTACTTCTTGCTGTTTCTTTTTAATCTGGTTAGGAAAGAGGAAAAACAAAATTCATTCTTTAAAAGGAAAATTATTTTCTAAAAGCGATTGCTATTACAAGCAAAGTTGATGTAACTATGTCAAGATGGATCCACTACTCCAGTAGATCCCACATTTTCTGAAGCTGAGATTCAGCACCACTTCTCAGCACCCAGACCACTTCCATTACTTTCTTACAACCCCAGCTTCTTTCTTTTCTCCCTGGAAGCATTGATACCTCCATCTAGGGA